GCCGTCGCGGTGATCGGTGATCGGTGCCCGGCCCCGTGTCGCCCTGCGTCGCCCCCCGCCCCCCGCGCCCCTGCGCGCGGGTGAACAAGCGGGAACCTCGCCCGCCTCCTTTGGTGAGCCCACCCGCAGAGCCGGGGAGACCCCGACGGCGCTGGGGATCTGAAGTACCCCCCCACTGGTGCCTCCTGGCCGCCCACCGTTCCGCGAGCCCAGCCCACCCCTCTTCCGCACCAGGGGAAGGGTGGCCAGGGCTTTTGGTGGTGGGAGTCCAGAGCCCAGCCTTGCTCTGAGCACCGTGTGCAACTTTGGACAAGAGATTTAATTTCTCTGTGCCATGCAGTGGGCAGGAAGATGAAAAATAGTATTTCCACTTACTTTTTTAATCTTTTCTCTATGTCAGGCGCTGTGTTAAGCATTCAGCTTCTATTATATCATCACGTCCTTCCCTCAGCCCTGCGAAGCAGGCATTGTTGTGCCCATTTTACAGATAAGAAAACATCTTCGAGTATGTAAATTATGTGCACAGGGTTAGGACTGCTACGAGATGTAGTATGTGTGGGGAAGGTCTTTGGGAAAGGTGTGCGTGAGGAAAATGCTTTTTCTCCGATGGTTTTACTCCGTTACAAAATCCTCTGCCCAGATATCTTTACATGGGACAACTAAAAAGAACTAATTGACTCACCAGCCCTAAGCTTACTTGTCAGGGGCGTATGGATGGCCCCAGCCTACACCGTGCAAAGCAAGGCCCTGGGCCACTGAGAGAGGCGGGGTGGACCCCCTGGATGGGCTGGCCTTGTGCCTGCCAGGGCGCCCACCCCAGCGGGCAGCGGGCCTGCTTGGGCAGCCCACCTCTGCTCAGTCTGCACGCCCACCCCGTGTTTCCTGCTGGTGCTGCGTTCCCCTTTGGAAGCACAGCTGGCACCCCATGGCGGCACTCCGAGGCCTGAGATAAGTGGGGGGGGGAGTGGCAGAGGGCAGGCGTCTCGGGGAGCAGAGGTGTGTGTGCGCAGGGTCCGGCCCCGTGCAAATGGAGGTGAGCCCTCCCTGGCCGAGCATGTCAGTGCGTCCGGGGCCTCAGTTTCCTCCCAGGGAAGGAACAGGAGGAGATGTCGGCCTCCCTCCACGTCTGAGATGGAATGCCACTGTCCATGAAGCGCTCCTCGCCCAGCTCCCAAGGCCGGGGAAGAGGCTGTGCGTGAACTCCAGGGAGTTGCCCAGGGCATCCCTGACCCAGCTCCGCTCCTTCCCTCTCCCCGGCTCCCTCTGGGCTCTGAGCCATGCCTGCTATGGAGCTGCCCTCGGAGAGGCCCAGGTTTGATCTTTGTCACCCGGAGGTGGCTATGGAGTCCACACTTCTTGGTGGTGGGGAGGCGCAGGGGCAGGGCCGCCAGGCCAGGGCCACGCACACCCTCTTGCTCTGAGTGGGCTCTGAGAGGTCTGCAGCCTTCCAGCCTTCTTCCTCTTTCGGGCTGACATGTCAGCAGGTTTCTGACTTGTAAGCATTCTACTTGTGACTCAGCATCTTGTGGCCCAGAGGTTGCTGAGTCACTCGAGGACAGCCCCAGAGTGCTTGTCCCCCTGCTCGGGCCGGGTCGGCTGTGGAGCCCGGGCACAGTGGGCAGAGCATTTGGGATGGGAGCACCCTCTCCTCCTGGTCTTCCTGGAGCGGAGTGGCAGGGGAGAGCTGGCTTCCTGGGGAGGCTGCGCTGGACCCGCCTTCTCCGGCTTTGCAGCTGAACCAAAGCGAAGCACACGCTCGCCTGCTCTGGGTCTCGTAGACCAAGGCAAGAGAAAAGAGTAGAAAGTTGCCGGGAGTTCAAGCCGCTCCATGTCCTTGCCACTGGACCTGGGGGAGCAGTCTTGAGGCTTTGGGCCTCTGTTCTCCCAGGTAGGGGAGAGGGCTGGGGCAGGCAGATGCAGAGGAGCCCGGACCCGGGCTGCGTCCCTCTTGTCTCTGCTGGTCCCCGGCCTCTCTTGGGTGCCTCACCACCAGCCGAGCTACCTCGGGCGCTGTCACTGAGTAGCCTGTGTAGTGGTGGCCCTGGCGACCCTGCAATGCAATGATGTGAGGTTGGCATGGGCTTGTACCGAGGTGGGGCTGGGGCCCCAGTTTGTGCAGGCCAGCCTCGCTGGAGTCCAGAGCTACCCAGGAAGGGGTGCAGGGCCAAGGGACAGGTACCTACCTCCCAGCAGGGAGGGCGCCACCTCCTCGAGACCACTTGGGGAGCCCCAGGGCAGAGGGAGCAAGCCTGCTCCAGACTGGCGCGCGCTGGTCTGGAGGAGGGCGGGTGGAGGGGCTGGAGCAGTGTGGGGGGCAGGTGCCGGGGTGTGTGTGTGTGTGTGTGTGTGAGTGTGAGTGAAGTTGTGCCCGCCTGCTCACAAGGAACAGGGGTGGAAACGCCCTAAATGTCTTTTCTTCCTGCTTGCAGCCCTTTTGGAAGATGGGGGGCGGTTTGGGCGAACCCCTGGGTCATGCCTCCAGACTGAGAGCCCTACTTCAACATTTCCTAACCCGAAGTTGCTGAGTCACAGAGGAATTGTTCTGGCCTTGTTCTCCCCTTAGCTGGCTTTCAGAACCTTTGCAGGGGAGGATCTTGGAGCTCATCGGCCCCAACCCCTGGGCAGCCCGAGGGGCGGGGTGAGCAGGCCTGTCCCAGAGAGCGCCCATCCGACTGTGAGGTGCTCAGTGCCAGGAAGCCTCGCCGCCAGGGCCCTTTAAGATACCAGAGGCTTGGGAATGCAGCTCAGGGTGGAGTCTGTGCTCGGCATGCTCAAGGCCCTGAGCTCAACCCGAAACCCTCGAAAAACAGAAAGAAGCCAAACAACCCTCCGGAGGGAGCGCGGCCGATGCCTGCAAGATGAGTGGCGAGATTCTGGGCAGGTGGCTGGCATGACATCCAGACCAGCGATCCCCAGCCCCGGCCACACGCCCGCGCTGGTCCTTGGCCTGCGGGGACCGGCAGAACGGCAGGCCGCGAGGCGCGGGCGTGGGCTGGGGCACGGGTGCGCGGGGAAGCTTCGGGGTGTTTACGGCCATGCCCGGCGCTTACGTCACTCAGCCCCGCCTCCCAAGCCGCCGCTGGGGATCGCAGGGCGTCGGGTTCTCGCAGGAGTCCAGCCCTGCGAGAAGTGCCCGGTGGGGCCACCTGGGTGTGCGCTCCTTGTGGGAATCCAGTGTAACAATAGTACAGCGCACAGTAAATGTAACGGGCTTGAACTGTCCCTAAACCACACTCACGGGTCCATGCAAAAACTGCCTTCCCCGAAACTGGCGTTTGGGGCCAGCAACGTTGGGCGCCGCTGCCGCGCTCGTGTGGGGGGGGCGGAGCAGCCGCCGCGGCTCATCCTCCCGCCTCTGGCCGCCCCTGCCCGGCTCCGGCCCCGACGCAGCCCCCGAGAGTGTGGGGTGGAACGGGCGGCTGGGGAGCTGTGGGCGGGGGTGCTGACTGGCAGGACCCTGGGGGGCCGCGGGCATAGCGGGGAGCACCGCGGCTGGGCCCGGCAGCGCGAGGCCCCGGCGTTCTGCTTGCAGCCGGCGGTCTCACGGGTGTCTGACCCGCACCAGGCGCCGCAGTGGTGACGGTCCACCCGGTCGCCCGAGCAGCTCCACGGTGGCCAGTCCCCCGGCCGTGTTTCCCCCTCACTTTTAGAAGGCCGTGACACGGCTCAGGCGTGTGAAACGACGCACAGTTTAACGAGCGCCCTGGGGCTTTGTGCCCGGCCTAAGCAGTGAGATGGCGTAGCTTCCCCAGCGCGCTCTGCGCAGGGCCCCGCGTCCTCTCCCCCAGGCACACGCCTGTCTTCCTTGCACGCGTGGGAGGTCGGAGCTCGGACCCTACGGCGGCCTCTTTGAGGGCTCTCCTGGCCCGGGGGGTGTGGCAGCCGCGGGCCCAGCCCGGGCCAGCCTCTGGGGGCTCGGCTGGCTGTCTCACCGCTACCGGGCCGACTTCGCTGACATCAGCATCCTGAGCGACTTCTGACCCAGGGAGCAAGGTTGCTGCGGCCCGGGGGCCCTTGGACCTGGCTGTCTCCCTCCCGTGCTGAGCGCCCACGGCCCTGCTCCAGGCCCTGGCCCGTGGAACTGATATTTGTGCCACTCTTGGGGCCTCAGCGGCAGGCACTGCCTGGCACCGAGCGTTGTTTCATGTCCTATTGTACTGGCCGAGTGGCAGCTGCCGTCGGAGCGGGAGGGCTGGCCCGGGCAGGGAGGGCTCCGCGTGCCAAGGGAACGCGCCAAGAGTGCCAGGGCCGCGCAGCCTGACGCAAAGAATTTGGGGCGAGCCGTACCGCCCAGGGGCGTGGCTGGGTCCTGAGAGTCGGGGTGACCTGCAGTCCCGAGAGGCAGAAGGAACAGCGAAGGGGGGCCGAGTCCAGCGGTGCCGTCGGGCTCCACGGAAAACTGCTGTCGGGAGGGCGGGCGCGGCAGGCCGGCCTTCCCTGAGCCTTACTGGGCACACAGGTGTGGCTCCCAGGCGACTCGGAGGAGGGGAGGGGGCCGCCCTGCTGACCCGTCTGTCCCGCAGGTGTGCTGGCGCTGTGGGCCCTGGTGACGCACGTGATGTACATGCAGGACTACTGGAGGACCTGGCTCAAGGGGCTGCGCGGCTTCTTCTTCGTGGGCGTGCTCTTCTCGGCCGTCTCCGTCGCCGCCTTCTGCACCTTCCTCACGTTGGCCATCACCCAGCACCAGAGTGAGGGCCGCCCCGGCCGGCAGAGGGTGGGGGGCGGTAGGAGCCCACGGCTCCAGTCCTGTCCTCCGCCAGTGTCCTGGAGACCGGGCGGCTCCCGAACTTGCCCGTCCCTGGGCTTGCCTCGGTTAAAGTGCGGAGCATGAGCCCCAGCCCTTCGGGATGGAGGAGCCAGCTGGACGAGCGGTGTGCCCTGTGCAGGCTGCCCCGCAGCGAGGGGGACCTTTAGTCTCTGCCCAGCTCTGGAAGGGGGGTGCCCTCTAGTGGCGGTGACAGGAAGCAGCTGGCGGCCCTTACCTCTGCCCGGGGCAGCTGATGCTAAGCAGGTTGTAAAGGGCCTGGAGTCCATGTCACTCGAGCTGCGTGGGTGACACACACCTGGGACTGCCCAGCCCCGACCTTCTGCCATGCCCACAGCTCCCACCCGCACACCCAGAGTTCTCTGACCCCCAGCACTCCAGTTCTTCAGGGACCGGGTGGGGGGGTGGGTACAGGGAAGTTGCTGGGAGGGTGGGCTGCTCCTCGGCCGTGGGCTGGGCCCTCCGGTCACCATGGGGCTCCTCTTCCGCTGCAGGCTTCACAGACCCCACCAGCTACTACCTGTCCTGCGTGTGGAGCTTCATCTCCTTCAAGTGGGCCTTCCTGCTCAGCCTCTACGCCCACCGCTACCGGGCCGACTTCGCCGACATCAGCATCCTGAGCGACTTCTGACCCAGGGAGCAAGGTCGCTGCGGCCGGGGGCCCTTGGACCTGAACTCAGCCTCTGAGACCTGGGGCGGGCCTGCTCCCGGCCCCGGGGACCCCAGAACTGGGGCAGAAGGTACACAGCGGGATCAGTGCACTTCCCAGGAATCTCGTTGGCCCCTTTGGGGTGCAGTGGGAAGGAGGTCCTTCCGTGTTGCCCACTGGTCCTGCGGGAGGGCAGCTCCAGCCCTTTGCAAATGGTTCTATTTCCTTAGCCCTCGGTGAAGAATCTTCATAAGCAGGGCCCGGACACAAAGTCAGGGGTCGGGTCGGGTCGGGTCGGGTCGGGTCGTGAGGCCTTGGCTGGTGCGGAGCCCGTGGTTTGCTCCCGGCTGCCCCGGGCGCTCTTGCTGAGGCTGGGTGCTCAGGCCCAATGAGAAGTCTCTGTTTGAGACCCCCAGCCCCAGTCCCCAGTGCCCCTGGCCTGTCTCTCCGCGGGGAGGGCCAGGTAGCCCATGTCGCCAGTCAGAGGCGACACTGCGCCAGGCCTGGGGGTTGAGTGGAGAGTTTGGCGCCCCGCCCCCACCCCCCCCACCTGAGCCGGTCCCCAGGTGTGCCGCGCCGGCCACCTTCCTCTGTCTCACAGTCCACGCGGCCCAAGGCAGCGTTCTCCGGACGAGGGTCCGACGGCACTGCGCATCTATGCCCAGGAACCCTGTGCTTCCTCACTGCCCCCGTGCCTGGCACCCCACTCCCACCCTCCCTGCTGCCCTCTGGCCGGGCTGCCCTCCTCCAGTGGCCCCTGCAGAGGGGCCACTCTCCTGCCCAGGCGCTGGCCCTCGGGCTCGCCTCGCTCGGGGCAGAGCTGTGTACGCACACCTGCCACCTTAGGTTGCTATTCTGCACATCTGCTCCTTTTCCACGTGTGTCCGCCCCAGCTCTTTGCCTCACCCACGTCAGTGTCACTGAGCAGAAATACAGCAGTCCTTTGTGCCTGACGGCCTCTGGTGGTTTCTTCGCGTGGGCTCTGGGCAAGGCCAGGTTGCTGTGGAGTGAGGGGCGGGGCTGGCCAGCTGACCTCCCGAAGCTGTCCTGGGGGCGGGGCCGGACAGGCTGCCCAGCTCAGGGTTTGCCACTGTGGTCTTCCGGGGCACGGGAGAACCCAGCAGCTCAGCCCTCCCGACCCCCCTTGGCTAGGACAGATGCTGAAGGCACAGCCTGGGCAGCCCTGCGGCTTGCTGTCCACCCCCAGGGGGGACAGATGGGAAATGGGGAGCACTTCCTCCACCGCTGCGGGCGCTCAGGGCTTGGGGCCAGGAAGGTGGTGCTGGCGGTGCCCAGCCCTCTGGTGCCCGCACGGCTTGCCCCAGCGTGCTGCCTCCCTGGCCTGCGTCTGCATTCGAGCAGGAGGGGCAGAAACAGTGTCTAATTCTGGGCCTTTTACTGATCAGCAGAGGCCCCGGGAGGTGGCAGGACGCGGCTGAGCTCCCAGCTGGGACCTCAGCCCAGGTGTGTCTCCTTCCGTCTCTGGGGGGCCCCCGAGGGCCCTCTGACCGTGGTTCCGCGCGGGGCTGTCCCCCTTCCTGTCCCCAAGGTGGGGCAGCAACACTGAGTCCACAAGGGCAGCCGGGCACGGAGGGCAAGGCTGGAGAGGGCCCGCACCTGCCCGCCCTCACGCCGCACACGCGCAGGACGCCCCGTCGCAGCACGGTAAAGCAAATAAAACATTTATTGTTCCGATTTTTTTCCCATTTTTTTCTTTTTTACAAAAACATGCATTCATACACAAGGTATGGTGGGTCCTGGGGAAGACACACACTCACACTCATACACACACACACACACATACACGAATACCTTCCTTCTTGGCCCCAGGCAGGGACCCCAAAAGCCTTGAAAACTCTGCCGGGGCAGTCTCCCTCCCCGCCCGTCTACTCCCCCACCCGCTCCCCCTCGGCTGTGCTCATCCTGCGTGGGGCCGGAGGCAGCAGGGTGGTGGAGACGCCAGAAAATGGAAGGCTGGTGGAGAGGGCAGTGACCGAGGGGGCCCTTGGGGTCCCGCTGTGCTTCTGAGGGAGGGGGGAACCGGATCAGCAAGCACAGGACTCAGAGCACCTGTCTGTCCACCAGGGCACTGAGATGCTGGCACGGGGCGGCTCTGCGGGGCAGCAGCCGGCAGGAGGTCTGCAGGTGCCAGCGCTCGGAGTCTCCGAGGCTCTTGGTACCCAGTGGCGCGGGAAGCGTCCAGGGGCATCGGGTCGTGACTCCCTGCACTGAGAAGAGGGAACCCCCCGCCCCGGAGCCACCCTGCAGAGCTGGGAAGGGCCACCCGGCTGAGGCCACGTTCACATTTCAGCGCGGAGCCTGGGCTGTGTGCAAAGTCTGGGGTCTGCAGAGCCAGGGAGAGTGGTTACGGAGGGGCCCGCCTGGGCCGGGCCTCCTCTCTGCAGTCCTGAGGGTGGAGGCCACCGCGGGGCCCAGACATCGCGTGAGCCCTGCTGGGGCTGGAACGCAGCCCGCTCCTCTCAGGGTCCTCTGGTCCCCGTCCTACACCCGGCGTCTTCTCAAGCTCCCTGGCTGGGGTGACTGTTAAGGCAGGCTGTTCTCTGGCCCCAGAACTACCTGCCCACATGGTCTCTGAAGACCCAGAATGGGCGGTGGTGCAGCCTCAGAGGGAGCCGTGTCCACAGGGCAAGGTGGGTGGGCCGGTCCCTTCCACCGGCTCAGAGAGTCATCGGTTCTTCCTCCTCCACCAGTTGCTCTGAGGGCCTAGGGGAGGCACAGGGGTGGACGCTGCAGGCAGGGCTTTGGTGCAGTTTCCCTCAAACCCCGGTTACGAAGCCAGAGCGGCTCAGGGTGGCTGCGTGGGGGCTCCAGGCGCTTCTTCGGGCAGGGAGGATCGAAGGGGGCAGAGAGGCACGGCATGGTCCAGGGCTCTGGCATTACCTGTCCTCAGCCAGGATGCCCACCGAGAGGGATGCCAGTGCGGTCACAGCCTCTACTTCTTCTGCATCAGCCCCTGGTACCCGGGGCACCCAGAGGTTCGGCGAGGAGGCCAGGCGTTGCATGCAGCCCCAGTATTTACCTGGGGCAAGAAGCTGGTCAGAAAGGTTGGGGAGAACAAGTCCGTCCACCTTTCACCCGAGTAAGGAGTGCGTCCCTGGCCCGGGGTGAGTTTTCCCTCCTGTTCCCACCCTCGGTACAATAACCCTGACCCCACAGCCCTGAAGGGAGAGCAGGAACAATGCGGCTGTAAGGGGCCTTCGTGGGCCCTGAGCCCGTTCCTTCCCCTCAGGCCCACCTCTGACCACTCCCTCCGTGTGCTGGGACCCTGAGAGTGCCAGCGGGGCCCCTGTCCCTAGGAGGGTCTGTGCTGGTTACACACACACCCTGCTGGCCTGCTGATACAGGGCCCCACTCACGGCCCTGCTGCTGCTCAGGCCTCCAGCTAAGCACGGGGAGCGCGGAGGTGGCAGGGACAGCACTGGGGCACGGCATCACCGTGCTACCCACCCGGCCCCGGGGGACCGCAGGAGAGCTCAGCCTGCTGACCGCGTGCCTGGAGAATCCCAGCTCATCCTGGCCCACGGGAGCGCGTCACCAAGCGCCACTTGTGTCTGCACTGCTATGTTCACTGCCCCGACCAAGCTCCTGACATGGGGAACCTCTTTCATTCTTTCTTGTACCCCTAGATCCCATGGTCTTGCTCAACAGATACTATGTTGAAGCTGAAACTTTTTTTTTTTTTTGTCTTTTTGAGACAGGGTCTCGCTATGCAGTTCAGGCTGTCCTTGAGCTCACTTTGTAGCCCAGGGTAGTCTCGAACTTGCAACGATCCTCCTGCCTCAGCCTCCCGAGTGCTGGGATTACAGGCGTGAGCCCCCATGCCCGGCGGTGAAGTTGAGACTTTAAAATGCTCTCCAAACGTGGGGTTATTCTAAGGCCCAGCCCCTCAGCAGGCAGAGCTCCCAAGCGCCCTGTGGCCAGGACGGAAGGGAGGAATGGCAACCAGGCCTTCCCGTATACAATAAGGCCTGGGTACCCGTTGGCCTGTCTCCAGCTCAGGGCTGTGGCTCCACAGCAGACTGGCCCACTGGGCCCAGCTGGAGGACTCAGAAGTTACCCAGCCACGGGGCGCTGCCCACTGCTACTGCTGGGGCGATGCACACAAATCCTGTTCCAGGCCAACAGCAGTGCCCCTCACGTGGCTGGCGCTGGCATCCCTGGAACTGGTCACGGGTGGTGGACCCAAGCCCTCCCACATGTGCCCAGCAGCCGCCTGTCCGCACACTCACTGTGCACCCGGACCACCGCCTCCAGGGAGCGGACAGCGTTGAGGTTGGGTTTCTGTTTCCAGCTTTCTTCTGCGAGGGGATCCACCTACAAAAACGGTTCCTTCGTCACCATTCCTGGGAGCCACGGGCCCACTCCCTCCCCTGCAAGGGCCTTGGTCTTCTGAACACAAGCTGCTATATGTTGCTGGCCCTGTGTGGTAGGCACAGGTCGGGAGACACCGGCCACAGACCTGCCCCGTGCCCGCCTCCCTCCCCTGCCCTGTCCCAGCCCCTCTGCTCCGTCCTGCCAGAGCCAGGCTCGCCTGCCCCATAGAAACAAGGGCGGGGTGGAAGCAGCTCACCTTATTGCCCAGCAGAGCAGCCACACAGGCCTCGGAGGCATCGCAGATGGCTGTGAGGTCATGGCCACCCTCCAAGGCCAGCACCAGGGCGCCGCCTGCCAGGTTCATCAGCTGCTGCGTCATGTACCCAAAACCTGGACGGCGGGGCAGGGAGAAACAGGAACGCGCAGGGCTGGGTGGGGGAGAGGGGACCCAGTCCCTAGCTCTGTGGTTCCCTGCTCGCTTCCTCCCTCGTCAACCGTGACGCAAAGGCACCGTGCTTTCACACGGAGGCCCATGTGGACCCACTCGTGTTCCTGCTCAGACCGAAAGGTAGCGCGCAGGGCCCCGGCTGGAAGCGGCAGGGCCGCGCCTTGCACCCAAGAAAACGGACTCCGCTGTGATCTCTCCACGGGGCTCCCCCGCCTCTTCTCTGCGGCCAGCCCGGCAGCCCACTGTGCGGAGAATGCTGCTCCTCCCCGGAGAGGCAGCCTGTCCAGCCGGGAAAGCACAACTGGCCGGGGAGCTCTGCGGCAGAGCGTCCACTTGTCGGGTGCAAGCTCCCGGGACCCTGACTTGCTGATGCCAGGCTGGGCGGCAAATGGCCTCGGCCTGGGCCGTGCTGGTCTAGATCGCAGCGCCTCCAGGGCCGGCTGCCACGCTCCAGTCCTCACGTGCCCTGGGCCGGCCCTGTGCCTTCCTGTGCAGCTCGGGGCACACCTGCCTGCTCCCCACAGCCTGGCTCGCGCTTCCCACGCCTGTCCCGCTGCCGGGGCCCCCTTACATTTGGCAGAAACACGGTAGCCACCCAGAGGCGCTGGGTGACCCTCAGCAGCATCAAAGCCCGCAGACACCAGGACCAGGTCTGGAGAGAACTCCTGGGCGATGGGCATCACAACCGTCCTAGGGGGCGCAAGGACAGAGGACTCACCACACCGGGCCCGGCACCCGGAGCAGAGCGCTGGGCAGAGCCCGGGCCCCGCCCGCGCCACGTGGTTCCTGCCAGCTTGCTGAAGGCACCCTACTCACAGGACTCCCGCCACTCGGTCTGCCAGCAAGGGTTAGAGGGTGTCTCTGACGTCTGGCCCGTGGCTGGCCACTCATGTCCTTGGTACCCACACCCTGAGGACTCTGCCACCCAAGGAATTTAGCAAGAGGCAGGAAGGGGCGGGCATGGGGCGCGGGGGAGGGGGTGAAGAGGCGTATGTGCCCGTGCATGTGTGTGCGTGTGTGCGCGTGCACCTGCATCTGCAGGGGAAGAAGCACTCTGACAGCCCGCTGAGCTAGTCTCTGGCTACTACGCCTCGGGGGCTGGAAATGCTCGGCTGGCCTCAGTATCTGCCGGCAAGGAGCTGACTGGGCCCACTGGACCCTCTGAGGCCCTGGGCCTCCAAGTTCCACTCTTACACCCTCTCCCTCCGCAGGTCCCCAGCAGCTACCTCTCTCTAGCTCTCTAGCCTTGACCTAACTCTGGCGGGCCACTCTGGCGCTCCTCAGCGCCCTGGGCCTGGACGCAGGTGCGGGAGCTCCTGTCCGGGCCTGCAGAATTAGTGCTCACGGAGAGAACCCCAAAAAGGGCTCCCAGGCCGCTTCCAGCTCCCCTTTCCAAATGCAGCGCAGGACCAGAGTAAAGCAGGAGGGGCCGTGCGCAGCCCGAGCCCTTCTTTCAGAGTAGCCTTCCCAGCACAGACACGCTTCCAGGACGGCTGAAGTTTCTCCTCCCTGCTCCAGGCAGCGTCCCGCGGCTAACGGTGGCCCGACTGCGCCCTGCCACTTCCCAGCACGCGCAATGACACCGGCTGCGCGTCGCGCGTGACTCTGTCAACGCCCGTGCTTACGTGTCCTGCCCTCCCTCTGAGGCTGGCCGACCAGCCAGTAACCGGCTGAGGACAGGCTGGCAAGCCCGCTGGTCACCTCCGCCCTGGTGCTGGAGGGCAGGGGGCGGGGCAGGCTGGGAACTCACCTGAACGCAGCCAGGTACTCGGGGTCCCCCATGGGGGGATCCAGGCCTCCGGCCCAGGCCACGTTGACGTTGAAGCCCTCGCCACTGCCAGCTCCGACCTCGAAAAGCAGATGCCAGCGAGACGTGAGGAAAGCGGGGTGCTCGCGCTGAAAGCCCGGCTGCCCGGCTTCCCAGCACCTCCCCGCTTCCCCAGGGAGAAGCAGGACGGAGCCCAAGCAGTCTGTGGGTGGCTCGGCTTGAGAGAGGGCAGGGGGAGTGCAGGAGTCACCGGGGCTGGAGGCGGCCGACCCCACACGCGCTACCTCGTCCACAGCGCCGCTGCCGGGGAAGAAGTTGCCGTCGTCGTGGCGGTGCAGGGAGATGTAGAGCACGCTGGGGTCCTGGTAGAAGGTCTGCTGGGTGCCGTTGCCGTGGTGAACGTCCTGTGCAGGTGGGAGGCAGGGCATTAGGGAAGATCCAAAGGCAGAGATGGAAGCCAGGACGTGCTGGGAGGGTTTCGAGGTCGGTGACGGTTCTGAGGCTCGGGAGCTTACACTGGGGGCAGGAAATTACGGTTCCCAGAGCCACACGGTGGAGGGGTCCTAAGTAACTGACTGCCTGGCCCTGAGCACCTACAGGTATGGGAAATGCAAAAACTATCAACCAAAGTCAAGACAGTGCTCAGAAAAGCTCCCACCCACTGCAAGTCCCTGGGGGCAGGCCCGCCCCCACACCCCCTCCTGGGGCCTCCCAACAGCTCTGCTGTGACGTGGATGCTATCAAATTTTGCACAAGGGGAAGCTGAGGCTCAGGGAGGTAAAGCAGAACACAGACACGCAGAGGCGCCTCTGATACCAGGCCCAGGGCCCCCACAGGGCCCTCAGCTCATCCGAGGGCACAGGACGCAGGACCTACCCAGTCTACGATGAGGACCTTGCTGGCCTTGCCTTGCTGCTGCAGCTGCCGGCAGGCGATGGCCACCGAGTTGAAGAAGCAGAAGCCCCTGGGAGAAGGGCAGAGGGCACTGCCAGCCTGCTCCCTCCCGCACCTCCACAATCCCGACCTCCTCTCCCTCCAGGCCCTGGCTTGGTGTAGCCGCCAGCAAGGCCCCGGGGACCGGCCCCCACCGCGCCCCACCCAGGCCTCCCGAGGGCCTTACATGGCCGTGGAATGATCTGCGTGGTGTCCTGGGGGCCGCACCACAGCAAAACCGTTCTGGAAAGCGAAAGAACACTTGTCAGCCTGATAGGCAGCTCTTGACCCATGTCTGCCTGAGCCTGCGTCTGGTTCCAGGACCCTCCTCCGGGGACGGGTGCAGGGCAGGGCAGCTCTGAATGTGTCCCAAACCCTGCAGCAGTATCTAAGAGGAAAGAGAGGGCTGGCGTCCGGGCCTGGACCCCACCGCCCCGTCCTGCGTGGCCTCGCACTCTGCCTGCCTTCAGCCAAAGCCCTACCTTGAGCTCTCGGGAAGCCACTTTGAAGGCCAGGTCGGTGACGCTCCCGGCAGCCCAGCGGGCTGCGTTGGAAGAATGCAGCTCATTCCAGATGGTGTCGGTATCCACCTGTGGGGGCCAGAGTCAGGGCCCGCATCATCCACGGCTTCCCCCGGGAGCAGCGCCCAGCGGGCAGCACCCACTCCACGGCCAGGACCCCAGGGGCAGGGAGCTGGGCAGACGGCGCTGCCTCCCCAGTGCCCCACCGCCCAAAGGCAAGGCCTCCTGTCCCCCAGGACCCACAGGACTGCTCCTTCCCAGTGTAAGCCCCGGCACCAGCCCGTCCGGCCAGCACTCGGGGCAGCATCACACCTGCCTCCCCGTCAGGGGCGGGGCGTGGCGTTACCTGGGCGGGACTGGGGTTTGGGCCTGGAGGGCGTTTTAAGCCCCAGCTGTCTGCTCAGGCCCTGCAGGACGGTCGAGCCGGAGGGGCCGTCTGCACCACTGTCTTCCACTCGGGGCCCCTAGCCCAGGCTGGGAGGCCCCCCAAACCCAGTCCCTGGGCCTCAAGGCTAGGGAGGGGCCGGGGGGCGTGGTGGGGAGGTGGGGAGGGCGAGGCGGACCAAGAGAGGCGAGGAAGGCAGAGAGAGTCGGAAGAGGCTGGAGAGAGAGGACAGAGGGAGGAGGGAGGAGAGAACAGAAGCAACAACAGTTGGAAAACAGAAAGTGGCAAAGAACAGGGAGTCGTGAACAGGGCGCCGCCTGGCCCCACACTGCCCACCAGCGCGCTTGCCGCAGAGCACAGCCTCCTTCCCTGCCCAGGCCAGCTCGCTGCACCCTGGAGGGACTCCTCAGGCAGGGAGGCCATGCCAGGGTGCAGCAGGCCCCCGCCAGCGGGAGTGAGGTGGGGAAGCTGGGCCAGAAGGCTGCGCAGCAAGTGTCTGGACCCGCAAGGACACAGGGAGCACCTCGGTATCAGGACGGGCAGTCCAAGGGCTGGGGACCAGGCCCCTCTGGGCAGGCAGAGCAGCCCGGGGCCGGCAGGAACGGCCAAGCCCGAACCCAGGCTCTTATGCGGGACACGACCCCACACTCCAGTCTGCCCTGCATGTTAGCTTCACTGAGCATCTACCGAGCCCCTTAAGAGTGCAGGCTTGGGGCTCCACGCTTGGGGACACTGCCGGCCCCAGTGCACCTGTCCACAAGGAGCTTCCCGCCAGCAGAGGGCGTGGCGGCAAAGTCCCTGCCCTGCCTAGTCCCGAGACCCCTGAGAACAGGCAGGTGGGGGCTGGGCCTGGGACAACCAAAGGGAGGAGAGCTGAGAGCTCTTGGCAATGCCCGCTGGAGACCCCTGGGCACACTTACCCCAACCCCACCACAGGGCAGCATCACAAACATCCGCTGTGCCAGGAGCTCTGTGGGGAGAGGCCCGTCCCACGTGAGTGTGGGTATGCTCAGCCTCTGGCCTGGCCGGGGGCAGGGTGCTTAGGGAGAGGGCCGGGTGGGGCGGCGGGAGAGAAACAGTGCAGGGAGGTGGGTATGGACAGGAGGGGACCAGCGCAGTAGGCCCGAGCGGGGGTACGCAGGAGGGGAGGGCCGGGGGGCAGGGCGGAGCCGAGGGAGCACAGGGCGGGGCCGACTCTCCCGGTGCCCTACCTGACAGCTTCTCGTTGTCCAGTTTGAGGCGGCTGAGCGGGTTGGTACCATAGAGGAGCATGTGGCGCTCGGAGTGGACTGACTGCAGCTCCTCCAGGGAGGCCTTCCGGCCCCGGAGACACTGAGGAAGCGAGCGTGCACAGACCTCCTCAGCCCCTGCTCGCCCTCGCCTTCCGCCGGGCCTGCTCTCTCGCTGGCTCCGGACTGCCACCTCCCCTCCCACCGGCCTAGCCCTTGATGCCGCAGCCCCTCACCTCGCACTGGCTCCGGAGGCCGCGCTCCTGCAGCCGGGACCAGATGCTCTGGATGCGGCCCGCGTGCTCGGGGTGCCGGCTGTTGTCTCCGCAGGAGCACTGGTGCTTCAGCATTACGGAGTCGTAGACCAGCCCTGCCAGGTGCAGGGGTGAGGGCGGCACCCCAGGGAATCCCACAGGTCTACACCCACACAGACCCTCCCGGGGCCAGGCCCGGCACATGGCCTTCCCCCCAGAGGCCCGTGCTCCCCACTCTGCCCCACTACTGAGACCAGCCTGGCTCTCCTTTACACGCCTGCCCGGACGCTTGCCCCGGCACCCCCAGCAGCTGCACACGGCAGCCTTGCCCTCGCCCCCGCCTGCCCCACACACTGACAGCTCAAGAGGCCGGCACTTCCCCAGTGCCCTGAGCAATGCCGAGGCCCCACACCAGCCCCGCCATCTGGGCATCACGAGCCCAGACGCTGCCAAGTGGAAGTGGGTGGAGTCAGAGTTGTTAGGGAACCCCGAAACTGGGAACAGGGAAGCCCACAGTGACACCGGCCAGGGATAAGACAAACAGAGCTATCCACAGTGACTGCAGCTCTTTCCTAACTGGGAACTGAAACACCCAGGAGAAAAGGTTCAGCGGTACTGAATGCACAGACTGTCCTCCCTTGTCGTTACCCCTAAACAACGCATCACAATGACCGCATATGCAGCATTTATATCGTACTGGGTGTTACAAGCAATCTGGAGATGATTTAAAGCATATGGGTAGGGGCTGGGGGCACAGCTCAACGGTAAAGTGCTTCCTACCGTGTGCAATGTCCTAGCACCACACACACACACACACACACACAGGAGAATGCTGCAAGTCATGTGCAAATTCCACACCACTTTACACAAGGGACTTGAGCACCTGAGGACTTTGGTGTCCTGGGGGAAGTGCTGGAACTACCACTGCGTTGGCACCAAGGGACCCTGTGTCAGGGCCCCCAGGCTGCCGCTAGAGCCGGGCCATGCATCCTCCTGTGGGAGGAGCAGTGTCTGCACACCTCAGGGCACCAGGGACTTCAAAGTGCTCACAGCACCAAGACTGACCCTCAGGCCATAACCCCAGGCATGGGTAAAGGCGTATGCACAGGAAACTTAAAGTGGGGAAAACGGTGCAATCTCACTGTCCAGCCACTGTGAAATAAAGATAAAATACTGCAATGAAATGGAAGAATCCCAGTTTTAAAGATTAACTACATCAAAAAGCGCCTGTGACACGCTAGCTAAATAAAGCAGGGAACAAAACGCAGTTCACGAGAACATGCTGCTGCTCTCGCGCACGCGGCCAGAACACACCGGGCTGACGCACAGCAGAGTTAACCAGGTCTCTGGGCAGCGGGACACTGGTGGTGACGTTTACTGCACTTTGATGTTCTTCTGTGTGTCTCGAACTCTCTGCGATACTTTCGCGCTCTTTTTACAAGCACAGCATGGTAATGATTTTTCAACAACATAAACAGGGCTGGACACCGTGGCAAGAGACCGGACTTCCTACCCTGGCCTGACTGCCAGCTCACTACCTGACTGCGGGCTCACCACCTTGGGTTCCCGAGCCTTGCTGTGCTGGCCTGTAAAGCAATAACCACCTCTCTACCCGCCTCACGAGCTGCCTTGCGATCCAGCACCGCTGGGTCTCTAACAAGCGTCTCTAACTAGACCTCTGTCAAGGGCCCAGTGCTGCCTGAGGAGAAATGGATGGGTGCTCCTGAGCCCCTCCTCCCGCCGCCACTAAGCCTGCTCTCACCTGTGACGAAGGGCAGGGTCTTAGCGGGGGCTTCGGAGCTGGAGAGGACCCGGGGCTGGCACGTGGGCTCTGGGGTTGGTAGCGAGGCAGGCGCAGCGGGGGAGGACTGGGTCCTGGACAAGAGCCGGTGTCCACCCTGGGCCAGGGGAAGCGGCACAGAGTCCCCAGAGCTTCCCCGGGGCAGCCGCCCCGCCAGACGCTGCTGCTCCCGGAGCAACACCTGAAGGAAAGAGAAACAGGAGCCTCAGTCTCCCTGGATTTGCTCCTTCTGCTCCAGCCCAGGCCTTGGGAAACTCCAGGAGGGCCCTTCCCGGAGAGATCCCAGGAGGCACCAAGCCCTGCTTCCCACCTGGGGTGTGGCTTTGACTTGGAGTCTCCAGCAGCTCCCTGAAGACCTGCACCCCAGACTGCCCACCACCCAGTTCTGCCAGAGCTCCTGGGCCCTGGGGTCCACTCCAACCAGGATGTCCACGTCCCCAAGGACTGTGCTACTGCCCAAGAACACGGGGACCTGCATGAGCCACTGTGCATATTCCCGACTGCTACCATGTGTTACAGGTGGAAGTGCCCCCCGCAAGCTGAAGTCCTACCCCCCTGCACTTCAGAAAGTGACCTTATTTGGACACAGGGGCTCTGCAGAGGTAATCAGGTTAAAATGAGGCAACGAGGGTACGCCATGCTCAGCAGGACTGCTGTCTGTAAGAGATCTGAACAGACACAGGGGGACCTGTGCGGACCCCGGGAGAAGGTGACTGTCTGCAAGGCAGAGCCTCGGAGCACCGCTTCCCCTTACAGCCCTCAGCGCCTTGACTCCGACTCAGCTTGCAGGACCGCAAGGCGCTGACTTTCTGCTGGGCAGGGCACCTGTCTGTAGTACTTATTGCAGCAGCCCTGGCAACGAGGGCACCGTGGCTTGATCCACACGGCGTGAGCTCTCGGCCTCAAGGACTGGAGCCTGGCTCTGCCCCAACCTCTGTCTCAGTCACACTCCTGGACAGGAGACAACTGGCACAGGCAGAAGCACGAGGGCAGGAGTGTGCACGGTGCCACGAAATGCCAGCCGCACCGCTAGGAAAGGAACACACTCCACACTGAAACCGGGAGGCTGCTGGAACGTGTGTGCAAGCATGCATGCATGTGCGTGTGTGCGCGTGGAGGGGCATGTGCGTGCACACGTGAGTGTCCGCGTGCCTGCAACTGTGCTTGGTGTAGCCGAGCACCAAGGATCTGGCAGGGCACCCGCTGGTCCCAGAGCCGTGCCCGCACTGACCCTGTCTCCCTCCCACACCTAACGCCGGGCTGCCGTCCGTGAGCGGCGCCCAGCACAGCTGTACCTGCTGGTGCTGCTGGAGAGGAGCAGGGCCCCTGGCCTCAGGCTGCCGATGGCTCGGCTCCCTGTGCTCCAGGCCGCCATCCACCGCCGGGCCGGCTGCCCCGCCGTCCGTCTCCAGGTCCTCAGCCGAGGGTATCTGCTGTAGCCGGGGCTTCTCACTTGGCTTGGCTGCTCTCTGGGGAGGGTAACGGCCAGCTAAGACGCCCCAGTGGAGTCAGGTGGGGTGGGGTGGGCACGGAGGACCAGCAAACGCCCACCCATCTCACTAGGACTCCAGGTCCCCACCGTCCCTGAGTCCTGCTTCTTCTGTCAGCCCCTGGGTCTGGTGAAACACCCAATGCCTCTCACCTTGATCAGCTGGAAGTGAGGTTCCAGCTGCTCCAGGCAGGGCTGCAGGGGGCCCAGCAGTGTGGGGGCAGTGGCGCTGGGGGGCAGGGGCTCTGAGCGGGTCCGACTCAGCGGCCGGTGGAGGCCCGACCCAGAGAGCCGCTCGGCGGTCAGTAAGGACTGGGCAAAGTGGAAGGGCAGGGGCCCAAGCCCAGGCACTGGAAAGAAGCAGGTGCGGCATCAGGAGGGAGCCATGGGGGCCGTGGACGCAGGTAAGGGCACGGGCTCGGCAAGGGGGTGCACAGGATGGGGCTGCAGGGCGGGGCCCTCCCTGAGCTCCGCCCAGCGGGGCCGCGGGGATCCAGCCCCTCCCCAGGAGAAGCAGCCGGGCTCACCAGTCAGCAGGGGGGCACGCGAGACTGAGGGGTCCAGGAGGAGAATGGGCTGCAGGCGGGACGGCAAGGCGCCCCCTGCCTCGGGCTCCAGACCGTGGGGCAGGAAGAGGGGAGGATGGGGGTTGCCCAGGACCGGCCCGCGAGGGCCCAGGCTCGGATGGGTCCTGCGGTCTCCGTCAGCCTGAGGGAGAGGCGAGAAGTCACTGGAGAGCGGAGTCCAGCAGAGGAAGCGGGGCGGGGCGGGGCAGCAGGACACGGTGTGAAGGAGGCCGGGGCGCGTGCAGTGGGGATGGACGCCCAGCCACTCACCCTGGCGGGGGCGGGCAGCCCCAGTGTAATAGCGGGCAGCAAGGACACTGTCGGCAAGGCGAATGGGGCCACGGAAGTCTCCTGCAGCCGCAGCCGCTGGCCCAAGAGCGCCTGCCACAGGGAGCAGGGCAGCGGGTCACTGGCCCCCGACCGCCAACCCTGGCACCCCTTACCCCGCACACCCAGAAGGCCCTCGTCGGGGCTGCCCAGACCCCACGGCCCTGGCCTGGGGGCCTTTGTTCTGGAAAGGGGCTGCGCTTCAGCGCTGCCCTGGGAGAGTCTGTGCTGGCACGGCCTTACCTCCGAGCCCAGGACAGGGTTGGGGCCGTGCTCGCTGTCATTGGGGGAGCTGCACCCTGACGCGGGCGTGCTGCTACTACTGGGGGAGGAGTCTGGGGATGGAGAGAGGGAGGGCGGTCAGGGCCGGGGCGTGCAGGAGGCGTGCAGGAGAGGACAGCCAGGGCCCCCACAGGGCCGAGGCAGCTCCGCCCGCTTTCTCCTTGGCAGAGCGGGCGGCAGCCAGCACTAGCCCACGGCACGGAGAGGCCGCCCTTTCTGGGCCAGCACCAGCTGAGCCAGCTGAGCAGAGGCCGGGCTCCCCCACTCACCCTCCTGGCACGTGCGGGGGGCACATCCTGTGTGACACGCACAGAGGCACCAAGGAGGGCCCTGTCTGGGTGGGGCCTGCGCCCCGGGGACAGGAGCCGCGGGTTCAGGAGGCCAGGGCGCCCACCCGCCCTTCTGGCCCTCACCTCCGAGGGGCTCCGCGGGCCGCCGCCGCAGACTGGAGGGGGCGCTCTCCTTCCTGAGCAGTGGGTTCTTCCTCCGCTCCAGGGACTTCTTGGGCTTGTAGCGCAGCTTCAGGTTGGGCTCGGAGGCTGCGGAGGCCAGCGTTACTCAGCCGCAGGCCAGCGCTCTCCTCGGCCCTTTAGTCCCTCCTGCTTCCCTCGCGGCAGGCTGTCATCGCCGTGGTAACAGACGAAGCCTGGCACCTCTGCCGCTCCGCCTCCCTGACCCAGCCCCGGGCCCTTTACCTGGGTCTCCCGGAGGGACCCGCTCTCCGCCCAGCTCACCTGTCTTCCGCAGGGGGAAGTGCTCGGGGGGGTCACTGGGCAGGCTGGCAATGGGAGGCAGAAAGCTGCTGAGCATGGAGCGGGCGGCTCCTTCCGTGTCCAGGGGCTCGAGAGTTCTGCGGAGCGAGTGCCAAGGGGGTGAGAGGGGCGGAAGCCCCAAGGCCAGAGATCTCACTCTGCATGGCGCCATCCCAAGCCGGGGCTCCAGGACCTGCCAGCGAGGCAGCACAGCAGGACTGGGCAGCGTGGGGCTGGCGGGGATCTCCAGGTGGCAGCAGAGGGCCACTCACGCTGCCCCATGGCCACCACACCGTGCTCTGACCTAGGTGTGGAGGCCAGAACCCGGGAGCTTGGTGAGCAGCCACCGGGCTGACCCGCCTCCTGCTGTGGGAAGCGGGAAGTTCCTGTGCCTGGGGAGGCGGTGGAGAGCAGGGGTCGAGCCTGGGAGAGGAAGGCCGGTGTGCGTGGGAGGGCCCCGGCAAGGCGGGACGGGGGCTGGTGGAGAGCAGCAGAGGTGCTCAGGATACATCCTGCTATATGGAGGGTGCGGGGCCAGGTGACGGGGAGGGGGCCAGTGCGTGTGCTCGCCACAGAACGTGGAGTGGGAGGGACGTGGGCGGGACCCCGGGGACGGGAGGGCAGGGGAACCACCTGTAGGGAATGCCAGGGCTATTGGTATGGACCGTCCTCTCCAGGGCTGCCTGCTGTTTCTTCAGGATCACCTCGGCCAGTTTCTGCTTGACCACACTGCTGGCCACAGCGCCTGCAGGAGCAGAAGCCTGGAGTGGGCAGGGAGCAGATGGACGGGGGCCCCCAGGCACATTCTGCCCGTCCCGCCCCCACCTCCAGGACGCAGTGTCCTGCCCAGCGGGGCCTCAGGCAACAGTGGAGCCCAAGGGCCTGTACCACCTGTGAGGCCTCCGGACACCTGGGGACACCCCTCCCCCACCCTGCTCACAGGCAGAGCCGGGCAGTCCAGGTCCTGGGCACCCGGGATGGGCCTGGGGGCAGGGCGCCCTTACTGCGCTTGCTCTTGTCCTTGTTGAGAAGCTGCCGCAGCTCCTGCTCCTGCTGTCCGCCCTGCAGTTCAGGCATCGGTGGGTCCATGGAGAGCTGTGGGCGGATGGGCACAGCTCAGACAGGGCAGGGGTGGAGGACCAGGGCTGGGGTGCAGAGAGGCTGGGGGCTCTGCAGTTACCCTCATGGACTCCGTGGAGCGCGGCTGCTGCTGCTGCAGGCCGGCCAGGAGGAGGTGGCTGTGCAGGCGCTGGGGGTGCTGCAGGGCCAGCAGCGGGGCCTCTGGGGGGTGCTCCACCGTGGGCCGCTGGCCTACCCGCAGGTCCATGGGCTGCGTCTGAGGACCTGGCGTGTCTGCTCGGGGAGAGGGGCAGCCTGGGGACAGAGAGGGCAGGGTCAGGCGGAAAGCCGGTCTGCAGGAACTTGTCACACCCCAGCCGGCCTCCTCGGATTGATCAGCCATAGCAGGCCACCCTCCAGGGGCCCTTTCCTCGCTTCTTCCTCCCCAGGTCCGCGAGCGCGCTCAGCTCCACGGGCCTGGCTCTCACCTGGGCCAGGGGCCTGGCCAAGCAGATGCTCCCGACGCAACTGCACGTACATCCAGAGCCACCCGACTGGCACAAGCACAGTGCCTTCCCACAGACACGCTCCTCCCCGAGCCTGGGCGGCATCCCTGTGACGTCTGCGCTGGGTTCTACCCCTCCCTCCCTTCGCACCCCTGCAAGGAGGGGATCTGCCCAGCTGCCCTCTAACGAGCTGGGCCCACAGCAGTGACCACGCGGGCAGACAGGCCCACTCCGTTCCGCCCCAGCCCAAAGGGCCTCAGAGGCCTTCCACTGCCACTCTCCACGCCCTCTCCAAGGCCTTAGGATTCAGAAGCAACGCTGCAGCCCACAGCCAGCCCTGCTGGGCCACCTTGAGCCTGCAGGGCCCGTCTCAGGGCGGGTTCCTCAGCTCACTGGTCCCCTCTGCGCCAGCCCTACGCCCGACCTGGGAGGATGGCAGGCCTAGCTGCCTCTTCTCCGTGATCCTCTTGCCCATGCCTGGAGCACCCTGCCAAGGCCGTGGGAGCACAGGCTGTTTACGGCCAGCCACCAGACCAGGGTCCACGCCAGCACAGCCAGCTCCTCCACGGAGCAGCCACTGCTGTCCCCTGGCCTGGGGCGAGGGACACTCGCCCTGGCAGAACACCCACTGCACAGTGGGTGCTTTGAAATGCACCCTCCAGGCCCCACCAACCCCTGCTAAGGACCTTAACAGCTCCCGTGTGTGCTGTGCAGAGCTCCCCCGCCGCTCTGGGAGGCTGAGGCGCGGCGGCGCAGGAGCCTCTCCCAGGTCATGCACTAGTGGTGCCAAGGAGAAGGGGTTTACACTGGTGTCGCTATGACGCATCGCGGAGACAGGAGCCGAGCACAAGGCCCCCACCTTAAACCTGGCTGCGCGGGGCCCGGGGACGGGCGTGCACCCGACGTGGGCCACCATGGACAGTGCATGGCTGGGCTCCCCCGCCCTTGTTCACGTGGCCGTTCAAGGGATCCAAGCCCCCTTCTGGTCAAGTCTAGGTGTCCAGTGCCAACACACTCCTGCCCCACGAAAGGGCTCGGTCCTCACAGGTGCTAGTGTGCCGGCCTCCTGGGTGACGCCCCTGCTGAAAGGGCTCGGGCAAACCCGGGCGGCCCCCTCACATCTGAGGCCGGAGGCTCTGGCCTCACGCAGAATGGGAGCAGCCCTTCACCAGGGGCCGTGCCCCTCGCACTCAGAGCCGCCGCCCCTCCAGAGCAGAAAGAAAGGCGTGGCCGGGGCCGCGCGAACGCCCCTCACAGTGCAGTGGCCCTGGGGCCTCCGCACTCTGGTCCTACGTGGCCTGTCTCAACGTGGCCTCCTACGCCTGCACACACGCCTGCCACCTCGGCCAGCAGACGCTGCCCTCCCAGAAGCCCACACAGCTCTGTCCTCGGAGCTGCTGCTCACAACGGCCTCACTCCTGCGTCCTACCTTTCCAAATCCTACCCACTGCTCGGAAGCCGGCCCGAGTCTTCCGTGTTCCCAGACCCGGCCCGGTACCCACACCCTTCCCTCCTGGATCCCGTCCGGCGGTTGCACGGTGTGGCAGGCACTCTGGGGCAGTACACATCTGGCTGAAGTTCCACAGGCAGCGACGTGGTTTTGTCCACTGCTCGTAATCCCCAGACCCAGAATAGCACCTGGCACACGACAGACAATCAGCGAACACGGATCAATGAACAGGTCTCCGTAGCTCTCCCGAAATGCCGAGGAAGGTGCCCTGGCCCAGAGATGAGCTCCATGAGTGGATCTTGAAGGCATGGTGAACTCATGTACCAGCTTCCTCTCGTCTGGCACCGCTCTCCTCTTCATCTGTGGGCCCTGCTTCCCCAAGCTGCCTGAAGTTTTTGGACAGCTGCGATGACGCGAGGAGGCCTCACGGCCTTCCACGGCTCCCTGCCATCAGGCTGCGTGTCCTGCACACAGCAGGTCCTCAGTGGACATTGACTGGAGTTAAAAAAGGGGTGAGCTCAGCCCTCCGGGCAGATCCAGGCCTGTGGGCACTCCCGAGCCAAGAGCAGCACGAAGCCCACTCCAGCCCTTCCCAGGGTCACCGAGCGGAGGGTGTGTGGGGCCGGCAGGACGGAGAGGGGAGAGGACCAGCTCACCGCAGGCAGGAGCAGCCCGAGGCGTCCTTCCCTGCTGCGGGGCCAGCAGAGGACTGAGTGAGTGAACCAGCAAGAACCATCGCCAGTGCCTGACGCGGCGCCGGGTCTGTGCATAGACACTGCCCTCCTTTCTGTCTCACTACACCCAGCCGGAAGAGAGGAGCGCCCGCCTTCCCCTGCCCTGCTGCGCTTCCCAGCACTGGGGTCAGCCCGCCCCGAGACGCCTCGCTAATCCCCACTCCTCACCCCTGCCCGGGACATCGCCCTGCCTCAGCCCTGCCCACCGTGTCCTTTCTCGCCTTCCTCTCCCACCCGCACCGCCATCTCCCTCAGCCTGACACATACTCGTGCCAGGGGCCTGGGTAGGGGCCCCCAGGCTCGCCCAGCCCCTTCTGTGGAAAGACAGAGGCAGAGTGAAGGGTGACAGAGAGGGACAGGGCAGGGGCTCCCTGCTACCTCCTGGCTGAGAGGGGTCCCAGCTCCCCCTTCCTCAGCCTACTCCTGAGCGGCTCAGATACCTCAGCTGCTTGGACGCAGTCCACAGCAAGAACCTAAGGAGGCTCTGCTCAGCCAGCGATGCCCTGAGCCCTCCGAGTGGTCAGATACAATCTTCCCTGGGCAGCCAGAGCAGGCTCCCGTAGTCAGGGGAGAGAAGCACCTGGGAGATGAGCTGGGGCCAGAGCGGGGCATATGGCTGCGGAGGGCACTGGGGAGGGAGCCAGGGCCTCTGAGGCCTCCCACGGGGGACAGAAAGGGAGTGGGACAGAGAGGCCTGGGTCAGGCCCGACCTGGGGGTAGCTATGACGGGGCTGGGTCTGGAGGTCACAGCTCAAGAATCCCATGCTGGGGACTTCTCTCGCACTGCCCCCTCCTGAACCCTGCTGCTGCTGCTGTCTCGGAGAAGCGACTCACTCAATTTTTTTTTCTCTGAAACTTTGAGCAAAAAAAGTTGTCTTTATCAGTCCCCTCTCCCAGGCTCCTCAGCCCAGCTCCGGGCCTTCCATCCATTCAACACACAGGTAACCCAGAAGCAGGGCCCCAAACTGGTCAGCAACGGAAAAACCACAGGGCACCCCAAGGCACGCTGGGAAGGGGGCGGTCGGAGGTGAACCCTAAGGCACCTTGCCTAGGTGGACACCTTTCCTCCTGCCACCCCACTCAGGGCCGGGACAGAAAGGACAGAGGCTGCCTGGAGGGCGCTTGGTGGACACACAGGAGCTCCTCAGGCCAGACCTGGGGCAGGAAGGACGTTTCAAAGGGCGGGCGGCAGTTAGCACTCCCTGGCCGGGCCTGTGCTTCGGGGCAGCCACAGCGCGGGGAGGCGCACGCGGCCCTCCAGTGCCAGCGCCCCACACTTCCGCCGGCGAAGTTCCTTCAGGACAGGCTGCTCTGCTGCTCCAATTCTACCCACCCTTACGGTCCACCCGCCCATCCGCTGGAGGCTCACCCCGCCCTCTCCCTGCTCACGTCCCCTACACGCACACTGTGTGTCCGTGTGATCTGTCAGGAAGGAGCCACCTGGGGGTGCCCGTGCTGGTGGGCAGGGGACTCCCTTCCAGGACAGTGACCCCACAGCGGGGGTCGTGGGCGTCCACAGAGGTTTCTGGACTTGCTCCAGGCTCATTTCCCAGAGACTGTGCCAGGCCTCAGGCCCCCGACCTCCCGGGGACGCTCTCTCCCTAGGTCTGAGCCCTGCCCCAGGGCTGTCAGCAGCCTTCAGGCTTCGCAGGAGAGCCAGGTGCTCTGCGCTTGGCTCCCTCGGTAACCACAGACTTCTGGACGCTGTGCTTCTCTGGAGAGCAGAAAAATCAGTGCCCGTGAACTCTGCGGTGTTTGTTCCCAGATCCAAAGGCGACGCTTCGCGGTGGCGATCTCTGCCATCAACTCCGTTCAGAAAAGGCTCGCGCGCACAGGTGCGTGCCCACTGGCAGGGAGCGGCCTCCAGATGACCTGGAAGAACCTGCTTCTCACGCCTCTCCCTGGCTCTGTGAAGGAGGCCGTCAAGCTCAGAGCGGCTCAGAGCAACCGAGGCAGGACGTGGGAACGGCACTCCGTGTCCCGGAGGGCGGAAAGGAACCTATGGTCCCGTCAGTAGCTGAACGTGAGAAAGCACACCTGCACCCGGTTCTGGCTCGAACATGGGGCCCCCTCTTCTCATCAGCCTCCCCGCCTCTCGGAGGGCTGTTACCACTGACTTAGGATCAGACCAAAGTAAGTGTCTCTCCTTGGAGTTCCTGCTACGCTCCCACTTCGTGAAAACATTCAAGCTGTGCGTGGTGGCGCACACCTGTAATCCCAGCACTTGGGAGGCTGAAGCAGGAGGATCGCCACAAGTTTGAGGCCAGCCGGGGACACACGGTGAATTCAAGGCCAACCTGAATTCCATAGCAAGACCCTGTCTCAAAAAAAAAAAAAAAAAAAAAAAAAAAATCCAAAGAGTGCCCAGAAGTACAAGACACGAGGTAAGCAAGAACAGGCTTATGACACAGCTCGCTTGGTGTGGGATACCTGGACCTTTCCTGACCCAGAGCACCTGACCTCATCCAGAACTACGAGTTCCTCAAATTGTGTTCCATGGGCCCAGCCTGCCCTCAGCAAGCTCCGGACTAGACACGCACACCACAGGTCCACCCCACGAGCACCAGGAACTAGCTGGGCTCTCCCCGTTCCTCCCCCATTGCCTCAGACCCCAGCCTTGGATGG